CCGGGATGTCGTTCCTGCGCCAGACCCAAGCCCGCACCACGCGCCGTACCACGGGGCTCCACCTCAAGGCAGCTCCCCCGCACAGCCCTGCACAAGCCCATTACATACAGCTACCTTCCTCCGGGGACAGCTGTGCCGCCACTACGAAGCCTCCGATGTACCCAAGCCCCCCGCGCGCCGCCGCCGCCCCCGTCAAACTTGCGTCCCACCACTTTCCCCATCCTGGCAGCCCCCAGGAAATCCCATCATCTACACCCCTGCGGCGATGACCGGCGGGAACACCGCGAGAGAAAAAAAAAAGCAATTAGAAAAAAGGCACACGCACGCACGCACGCACGCACGCACGTATATAATATATATGTGTATATATATATATATAAAATCGCCCTTACGTATATGGCTAGCCGGCCTCTCTCCCCTATAGGAGGATTCCCGGGTATTGTTTATTTATTTTTTTTGGTTTCTCCCCGGATCTCATGCAGGGCGACGGGTCGAGACGGGGTTTTTCTCTACGTGGCCCTTTCTATTGGGGGTCGCTTTTTTTGAGTCCGGCGGGGAGAGGCAATGGCGACGGCTTCTCCGGATTGTTAATGCTTCTCGGATCCTTGCTCGTGTTGGTAATCGCGCAAAAGTGCTGGGTGGGAAACTACAGATTCCGCTTCTGGGGTTGACTAGGTTAACCAGTGGGCTGGATAGAGTACAAGGCACCCGCGCTACCCCCCCGCCTCTAGGGCTGAGCCGCTGCTCGTTTCATCAGCCTCATTCTCGGATGGCTTTCCTAGTTCGGTTTGAGATAGAGCATCATGAGAGTGGGCGCGGTATTCAGCAATCTCTATTCTTTGGCGTTTGATCGAATCCTCTCCTGTTTTAATTGCTCCTTCGCTGCGCCTTGCTGCTTTTTATCTTTTTTTATTTCCTAGTCAAAGAGCCTTTCGGGCTGCGTCCTTGGATGAAACTGGCGTGAGAGTGCTGACCACATCTGAGACAGAGAGATGGCTCTTTCCGTCAACTCGCCTCGAAGGTGCTTGCATTGTGGGGCTCACCTCGTCTGGGCTTTACCAATTTATTAGCCGCTGTAGGAACGCGTTTACAAGCAGCGGCTATCTATGGATTCCCCAGTACCCGCTTGCTGCATCAATGCTTAACTGCAGCTTAGCTGACCGATCCTGTCCACTACTGACAGCTCATTATTGTCGGGTCGGAGCCCCAGGCAACCCGACGGCCTGACAGGACTCCAGAGCTGCAGCCGAACTTCAACCGAGCTTCACCATCGTGTGGGCTGGGTGACGTGCTCCCGAAAACTGTCTCCCCTGCTTATCCTCCGAGACTTGACTCATTAGGCACTATAAATCTCACCAAATAAGGGGTTTGACGTACCCCCATGCCTCGGTGGCCTAGCCCACCAAATCGATTGACTGTTTTTATACTTGTATTGCATGACCGGAGTGCGACCGATTCGAGAAAGAGCGGGACCGGGACCGGGACCGGGACCGCGAAAGGGTTGGCAGAGTGGAGATACGGAGATACGTTGAGCGTACTACCACTACGTTGCCTTGTCTTACTGCATGTACGACCCCCAAGAAGATCAGCAAAAACGTTTCCTTTCCCGGGCCCACGTTCTACAGCGTCAAGATCCTGCCTCATTCGATCGTCGGTCGATAGTTGTTCCGCACCCCCAAATGCTATGAAGTAAGATCTCACCCTCCCTTAAATTGACATTCCTTATTTTCACCGACGTAATTCCGATTCTATCTTCGGCTCACAATGCCTTGGCTCGATACTGCTTTGACAAACCCTGGGACATGCATTCGCTTCTTGTGATCTGTCAGAGAGAGAGTTCAGGCACCACCCGTCCCGCAAGCCTCCTCAATTGCTGGATAATTGTACCATGCACTTGAACGAGTATGGAGTTACAAATTAACCAATTCGCGATTAGGTTCCAGTCGGAAAGTGTACCCTCTTTCGTCTTGTGAGAGTTTCAAGAGCCGAACAAAATCTTCTTGGGGTCGGATACCCATGTTTCACTCCGCTGTTTTGGGTAGAAGCATGTGGTAACAAATAAGCACGACCGAGTTGACCTAAAATGATCTACACGGCAGAGATCTCGGTTCTCCTTTCCTTACTCATGTCAGCTCTTATAGTTTCCTCGTGGAACTCTCACGTTGTCCCTGCAGAAGGACGGAGGTTTCCAGTCGAGTATCTGGAATCCTGGCTAGGGGTTGAAAATGTCCACGGTGGCCTACTTTAGAAAATACCGGTAAGCGGAGCACTGGCTTCGCGACGTTGCTAGTAGGTTATAGGAGGTACGGAATACCACGGCTTACTATAGCAGCACGTTGTGGCCTATTTGGAGGCCTATAATGTAACGCTTAGGATGGGTTTGCGAGGAGCTGCAGAACTGTCATAAAAGTGGAAATAGAGCCACAAAATTTCGAAACTTCCACGATTGTGTTTTCTGTGTGACACCTAGCCTAATCTCGCTTTCTTGAAAATTCCTAGCGGGTTCTGGTAAAGTTATCGAGAATTGGGCCCGCGCAGGGTCCTCCACCAAGCTACACGAGAAATAAGGTAGCTCCCCTGACATCAAAAAAGAAACTAACCTTGTCGGAATTGAAATAATTGTTAAAACGGCCCATGCCGGTCTGTTTTTCCCCTGGATAATCCCCGCTAGCATCATCGGGCAACCAGCGATGACCCAATGACCCCGCAATGCCCAGACAGCTCGGCGGAGTCGGTGTCTAAAACTCCGTCCATGTGAAGCAAAACCGGCTTCCCACTCTCCCGACACATAACCAAGAAACAACTCCAAAGATACAACATACAATCCTTCCACTGAAGAGAGAAAGAGAAACCCAAAAATGGTGGATATCAACTACATCCGCGTCGCACAGACGCTTGGAATCACCTCGTCTGCTGTACTTGCAGGTAGTTAACTACCCACTAGATAACGCAACCCACCCTCAAAGCCTACTGACTCAAACATCTTGTAGGCAGCCTGTTCTCCATCTCCTTTTCCACCGTACCGTCTCTCCTCCTCGCCCCTGCACCGCTCCTCCAGCAGCAATGGGAAGCCATCTACCAACACGGTAAGACCGTCGGGCCGCGCGTCGCACTGTTCTCTGCTGTGAACCTCCTCTTTGTGGCCTACAAGCGCTATGACAGTGGAGGATTTGGGGGTGGGGAAGGCCCATGGCAAGCCTATGGGGCGGCGGCGGTTATTACGATGATGATTGCTCCATATACGGTTGTGCTGATGAGGGATGTTAATGATAAATTGCTGGCTGCGGGGCGGAGACTAGGGAAGAGGACGGAGATTGGGATTGCGGAGGAGGAGGGCGTGAAGAAGTTGGTGGATAGATGGGCGACCTTTAATTTCTTTAGGGGAGTTCTTCCGTTGACGGGTGCGGTTGTGGGGGTTTGGGCTGCGCTTGGTTAGGCTATGGAAATGATGAACCGATTGCCCTTTTAGCTTTGATTTTCGAAGTACGTTTCGTTGCTATGTTCAGAGTTACATATAACCTCCTAATATTCAGAGCCTCCAATTGACCGCCCATTATTGGGATCGTTCTTGTTCCTATTAAGTGTCTCACTGGCAAGTCTCCGCGGGCACTTGATATCAACAAACTATGCGCGGTAAAGCTAAGACCCTTAGCTGCAAAAAACCTCCTACAGGGTAACGTATAGTGGAGCCTGCTCGGGATAGATCCTTATAACCGCCGTTTGATCAACATACCCCCAAAAACTCTCCAGGGGAGAGGCTATTTAACAAGAATGTTGTCCAATAGAACATAATTCTTCCTTGGGGCATCTTTCGCAAAGAGGAAGTCCTGATGTTGGAGGAGCGGTGATGCAGTTGGGGTATCTTTCGATAGTAGCGGAAGTTTACGGGCGAATGGAGCACAGACCGCCGGCTACAATGTGGGGTTTGGGCCACCCCACAATCATTACGTATCAATGTTCGCAGCGAGACACATCTCTCGGTGTATATCAACGGTATTTCCTCGAGCAATTACTAGTAGAGAAATTCCCTTCAAATTCATCACGCTGCCTCTCCGCGCCCGCATCCAGAATATGGCCTCCTTCACACGTGTCTCAACGAAAGACGCGTTTCCTCGTGAGTGGGACTCGGGGCGAAAGGATAGCTAGTTTTTACTCTGAGGGTTTACCTGCTAACTAATTGGATCTTGCGATACAGCTGTGGGGCCCTATGTATGCTCTTTCGCTCCCAAACTAAAAAGAAAACTAAAGATATTAACTTATCTCCAACCACCCAGTCCCAAGCCACCTCCGCCCCACCCTTTGTCTTCGTTTCGGGTCAGGTCCCCGCCGATGCCGCCGGGAAACTCGTTGAAGGCACCATCGCCGAGAAGACCGAGGCCTGTATCAACAATATCAAGGCCATCCTGGCCGCCGCCGGTTCCTCTATAGACAAAGTTGTGAAGACCACTGTGTTCCTTGCGGATATGGCTAGCTTTGCAGAGATGAATGCTGAGTACGAAAAGCACTTCACCGGGAAGCCTGCCAGAAGCTGTGTTGCAGCTAAACAGCTCCCAATGGGCGTGCCTGTGGAGATTGAGTGCATTGCACTGGTATAGTTTGAGCATGGGGTTGTTGCGGATATTGTAGCATAGCCATTATTTTCGAAAAGCAACGAGGTTTGGAGCATCTGAGCCAGCGCCTCCCCGCGCGCGCGCTTTACGCCTTGATCCGTAAATCAAAGACCTAAATTTTGGGAATGTTTGCTCGGCGAGATGGATAGCTTGATAAAAGCAGAGACCACCTCCAATATAACCACTAACAATCCAAAACGATGGCTCATATGGAATTGCGCTGTCAGCAAAGCAGCTTGTATGTCGAGCATAGTCGTGAAAACATTACCTGGGCACGATCGACGATGAACGGACCATTCTTCCGGATACACTAGTGCCAACTGTCACAATACCGAAGTCGGCCAGGACGAGCATTCGTCAGTGATTTAGCGACCCTCCATTTCAAGTTCAGGGAAAGTGGCCGAGTGGTTAAGGCGACACGTTCAGGTCGTGTTGGGATTCATCCCGCGCGCGTTCGAATCGCGTCTTTCTCAGTACATTTTTTTTTTCCACCAATCTTTTATTAACTGAGCTCGGAGCAGAGCACAGTTCTAGGACTTGTTCTTTCCGGGTTGAGGCGAAAGGGTGGGAAATGTTTCCACATCCTTGCGCAAAATCAGCATGGGTGTAATGCGAACTTTTGCGTGAAAGCTCAGCTGCAGCCACCGAATACATCACTCCCCCTCCTCGATCTTTGTTTTTGTTCATTCTAGGTGATGATGGCCTATAGTCCACGCAACTAGCTGGGCGCTCAAAGGCGGTGAGCAAGAGATTTGGTCTGGACGCTGGCTGAATAGCCTATTTTCAGCTAGCCCCGCCATAAGAAGGAATTCTCTGCGACGAACAACTGTATTGCCCTCATGACCCCAAATCCCATACCCCACCAGCCTGCACGAGACCACTTTCCCCCCTAATGTCCCTGCGTCAACAGGTCAAATAAACCTCGGTGCCATGCCCGCTTCCGGCCGGGGACTCTTCTTGAACTCTTCTCTCCTTATCGCTGGCGAGTAAGTGGTGCTTCACCTTACGGTGTCCGCTGAACAACAATGACGATCCCACGAATATCCTCAAGCCATCGTCCCCAACGTCCACAATACGATGGGCTCCTCTCCTCCCCGATGCTCATGGCAGCCCTCTGTCTACTGTTATGCACTGCGGTGAATGCCTCATTCTTACGACCTACTAGCGTTTCGAAGCCAAGCCTGGGTGCTGAAGAAAGTCAGCATGCCTTCAGAGAACGCGAATCCACGCTCCAACAACCCCTTACCCGCGACAAACTTTTCCTCATACAGGGTGATGAGTATCCCCACCCTCAGCGCCCGTTTCCAAGTCCTCGGCCTGGTGCCGAAGAGGAGGTAGGAGAGAGTAATCCTGCGATTCTAAACAGCCTGTCGGCTCTCATTTCTGCGCTGGACGTAATGCAGGCACATTTCGCAGTCTGGCAGGGCTGTTGGGAGAAGTCCATTGACTGGACCGCCGCAGTCCTCGGGACATATGTCGCTGCAGCGCTCTCAACCCTTTCAGCGTCCCTCGATTATGTCGACCCTCCTGCTAGTGGAGATGAGGCGGAGGCGCGAGAGAACATGGTCAATATATATTTTAGTGGGCTTACAACGTTTTATTTTGGGCAGAACTCGGTGGCTTTAAGGATGGAGGCATACGACGATATGCTCTGGGTTGTCCTGGGATGGCTGGAAACAATAAAATTTATCAATCTCCACAGCTCTCTCCGTTACGCTGCTACCTCCCCGGCGGAATCCTTTCCAAGCTCTAGCTACAATTCGACGATGTGGTACGGCAACCAATTCATCCCCGCCTACGCGCACCGGGCTCATATATTCTACGACCTTGCCTCTAAGGGCTGGGACACATCACTTTGCGGTGGCGGTATGATATGGAACCCACGTCTCCTGCCGTACAAAAACGCAATCACCAACGAGCTTTTTCTCACCGCCAGTGTCGGAATGTATTTGTACTTTCCTGGCGACGACAATCCCTCTCCGTTTGTACCATCGCAAGACGCCGAAGGCAAGACCCCCCCGGCTTCGACGGCGAATGTTGCTCCAGCGGAGCCATACGATCCTAAATACCTAGTCGCAGCCTTAGAGGCCTATAAGTGGCTCTCGTCTAGCAACATGACTAATGAACGTGGACTGTATGTCGATGGTTTTCATATTTCGAACTTCGGCAGCGGTAACGGAACAGATACGAATACCAAATGTGATGAGAGGAACGAAATGGTCTATACATACAATCAGGGTGTCCTATTGTCGGGGTTACGCGGGCTGTGGGAGAGCACTGGTGCTCAGAGTTATCTGGACGAGGGCTACATTTTAATAGAATCAGTAATCAACGCCACGGGATGGACCTGGGGGGTACCAGACAACGGTGGGGATATGGGACGTTGGTCCGGGCTCGGCCGTGCTGGAATTTTGGAAGAATCGTGCGACTACTCGGGCACATGCTCCCAAGACAGTCAAACCTTCAAAGGCATCTTCTTCCACCATCTCACATTATACTGTGTGCCGCTCCCAAGCGAGCCATTACGCATGGGTGTGACCTACGCAGCGAACGCAGAGCTAGCACGGCTACATGAAGATAGCTGCAATTCCTACAGCGACTGGATCGCGCACAACGCCCAAGCTGCCTACTCCACTAGGAATTCGGGCGGGGAGTTCGGCATGTGGTGGGGTAGCCCTGCTGGCAACGCCATGTCTGACCCCAGCGCGGAACCAACCTTGTCCAACGGTTCTGTCGATTATCGGAATCTGGGCGTACCGATGGATTCAACTTGGGGAGGCACGGCAACGCCACGAGAGCAGAAGGTGGACGCAGCTAGCGTTAGTCATGATTTAAACGACCGAGGGAGAGGCCGCACGGTGGAGACGCAGGGCGGTGGGGTTTCTGTCCTACGGGCTATGTGGGAGATTGTAGACCTAAGAGCGAGGCATCGGCGACGATGATGGAAATGTTTACAATATCTGTGGGGTTCCACACCCCATAACCTTTCTTTTCCTTTCACGAGAGATTTTCTGTATAGTTTGATTGTGTACTCTGTTATTCGCGGATAAAGACGGGTAATTGGTTTGCCTCCTTTGTCTAATCGAAGATCAGTGGGAGTTATTTAACCAATAGCATTTGCTTTTGTGGGGGGATGGCATTGCGAGAGCTACGGCACTGTACACTCGAGATAACCTTCGGCGGGATAGATAAGTATTTTCTTTCGTTGGATACGGGGGGCCTTTGTTTGGATATTGCGGAAATCGAGCCCCGGGTCGAGGCGCCCTTCAACTAGGGTTTTGATATTAGACTTCTGCTTCATCTTCATTTGGACAATATATCAAAGACTTGTTATATTTCTGGGCCCCTTTAAGTCTGAAGATCGCTCGGGGCTTGCTAAATGCTAGGTTTTGACTAGCCTAGCCACCTTTGATAGCTTCAGGTTGGATCACTGCGTCTTGGTGGTCCGTTACCGTGGGAGGGTCCACAAGAGGATCTATTGTCTAACAAGAAGCCACTACGACTAGGAGTCACACAGGATGGAAACGGACCTACAGAGATTAGTGTTAGGCTACAGACCGCTCTGACAATAGCTAGGCGGGACTATCACCCAGGTTTCTACCCTTCATGGCCTGGCAATCGGATGTATTAGCTCCTACTTTGCGCTTATTCTCCTCCCCTGTCAGTAGCGGGAACAACGCTATGCAAAGACAGCAAGACATATGGCAAATCAGTGTTTTGCTAGGCTCTTGTTTTGTTCTCCGCGGAGAGGGGATAAGAAATGCGGCATGGCTGCTAGACTGCCGATATTGCCGTATGCCGGACGTTCCAGGTGCTATTACGGCGGCGGGGGGTTGCCTCCGGGAAAAGAAGGTGGATTTCTGAGTGGGTTGGCAGCTTGCGTACCCATACTCAAGCCAGAGGATTACTTTTTCTCGTACCCCTCGGAGGATCCTGACCCAAATCCCGGGTCTTAAGAGAGGACGGGTCTCCTAGAGGGGCCGGCAGGCATATGGTTTGTTTACCTTCCCCAATTCTCCACGCGAGAGCGCACCAAGTACGAGTTACCACAGGCGCCTTGCCTGAATCATGATCCCTCTCTCTGTGCCTCTATTTCCCGGTTCTCCCTAAGCCCGTTGTCCCCTTTGCCGCGCTATACAACCCCACAACAAACACAGAAGACATCCCAGTCCCGGACAGCCCCGGGTGATTCCCACCCCGGGGGCTTATCAAACGTGCCGCACACGTTATCCATCAAATCCTACTTTTTCTTGGGAACAGAGAGATGCGGCGTGGGTTCTCCCGACACAACAACATGCCGGAAACCCGAAAGCGCAATGCGTTGGGTTTCTAGGGAGGCGGGTGGGGGAGGTTGGTCAACCGGCGGGCTTTTGCGGGTTTGAGGATTTCGGTGGAGGAGGAAGAGAGGATGGCTGGGCGAGGTTGGTTAGATCAATCAGCCAGTGGACTTTTTGCGGGTTTGAGGGTTTGAGCGGAGGAGAGAGAGTGCGGCTAAGTAAGGTCGTCAATACATATCTACGATAAGCCGAACGACTACTTTTCTTACGCCCCCCTCAGGTTCATCAGTCGAAATCCTGTGGATCCTAACGAACGCTTCCTTATTCTTTTTTTTCCGAGACGGATGTCTAACCGCAGTCCCCTCGCACAATAAGTCGCCATCTATTACTCTCCTTCCTCTTTCAGGTAGATATAACACACGCTGCCCAAGGCCGCTAAGGAAACCCAACAGCGCACAAACGGATAAGGTACAAGTTGCATCTTTGGTGGTGTTGTCGTTGTTGGTATCGTGTTGGTTACTATATCATCATGCGTCACAATTGCCCCCCCCCATCCCGTTCTGGGTATATACATACATAGATAGGCAAATACATATAAATAGTCCATTGAGCTTGTGGATTGGATGAGGCTTTCGGCTCGACCTAGGGGACATTCCCACTTCATTGTGGGTTTGGAGTATCCCGTGGGATCTTCTGTGGAAAAATACCGCGAGAATTACGATACCGGTGGGATATCTACATGGGAGGCATCACGATCTGGCATGGTTGCGAGGGATATTAATTGCCTTGGGCCAAGTACTCTCTTCAATACGTTCTACTAGGGCTTGGTTTGACACTCTGACCCATTTAGGTGGCTCATCAGTTATCATCTTTTACACTATGACCACCAATCTAAATTGAACGACACTCACAAAAAATCTTGAAAGCTGGGGCCCCCCCGTTCTCTCTTCTCTTACCATTCTCTCTCTCCTGTGAAGTTTCCATATTCAGCTGTCCATATATACTACCGCCTCACGCCCGCCCATCAGCCAATCGTCGGGACTATCCCGCTCGCTCCAGCAGAAGAAAAAAAAAACACCCACTTCACCCCCATCCCACCGCCAAAAAAGAAGGGAAAAAAAAAAAAAAACAAGTTCTACCTCATCCTCCCCAACCCCTCAAGCCTCTTCATCAAAAATTCCGCGGCCTAAACGGCG